GGAAGTAGCAGGGAATGCTCAAACAAAATTAACAGGGAAGGTGAGGGAAGGTGGTTCGCACGGGTTCATTCGGACACCGTCGAGATTGCTGTCAGAATAACAGACCCGGACTTGGATAAGGAAGAACTGCTGAGAGCTTACGGGGAGAGCAGGCTAGGGGAGTTTGTTAGAAACGGGGACATCAGATTTAGATGTATTAAGGGGCCGGAGGGCACGTGCCACAGGATTGCCTATCTAGACTGCACAAGAGAAGCTGCCAAGGAGATGGTGCAGGAGAAAGAAATCCGTACCAAATGGCAGGAGTTAAGGCCCTTCTTTCCAAGGAGGAAGTCTGATGGCGAGGACAGGAGCAAGAAAAAGGACGGAAAGGGTAACACGGGAGCGAAGAAGGAAGTGAGGAAGGAAGATAAGGAAGCGACAGAAACAGAGCAGTGGGCCAAACCTGGCACAAGCAAAGAGCCATGGTAGGAGGCGACTTCATCACGCAGTAGGATAAATAAACAAACAGCAGCGTGAAATTAGAAATTAGCAACATATATTTATATATTTATTCAAATATCCAACATACCTTACATTTAACGTATTCAATATAATATATATCCATTAGCATAGCTATTCATATTCGCTTATATTTACTCGTATTTACTCATATCTATTATCTACTATTTACTTGCTCATATTTATTATTCATATTTATTCGTATCTATTTTCATATTTTCATATTTATTTCTACTAGTAGTAGTCATGCTTAGATTTGCGCACATTTGCGCTTACATTCATAGGGAACATTAATGTACAAAACACACATGTATACCCACAGAAATGGGCACTTACTTTTACTTTTACTTTTACTGTTACTCTTATTTTTACTTTTACTTTCAGCATATACTTAAACTAAGTCTTAATTAAATTAAACAAAATTATAGTTAGGCTACGGTGCGACGCTTAAAATTACTTAAACATAATGTATATACTGTAAACTAATTTAAATAAGGAGGAACGCAAATGAAATGTTAACCTTGTAAATAAACTAATAAATGACAATAATAATGGCGAGTAGAAAGAAAACATAAATGTTAAAATAGTAACGAAACACCTATTCAAGGTACAATCATTATCTCATTATTACATCATATCCCAAGATCCTTCAAAATTCAAAATTCAAAATTCAAAATTCAAATTCAAATTCTAACTCTAAAGATAAAAAATAAAATAAATTTGGCGGGAGTACGTACATAAACTAGGGAACAAGGACTCACGCACGCGCTGAACGGGTTAAGACTAGAACAACTAAAGTAAATTTAACAAATTAAAATATAAGACATATATCATACGCAACATCCTAAATTAAACGAACTAAGAACAAATAACGTAGGCAAGCCAAAGACAAAACCAAATCAAATCAAAATTAAATTCGAACAATAATACACGCAATGCCTTCGACACACACATAGTACATCTCACATATCACACTCGCGCTTAAACTTAGCAGAAAGCCTAAAGTAATATGACGGGAAATTACATGGCTTACGACTAGAGCGAATTACAGGCAAATAAGCTAAATAAACTAAATTAAATAAGTTAGAACTTAGAACTAATTAATCAAATCAGCAGTAACTGGTAACGAATAATAGTAAATAACAATAAACCTTTAGCTACTGGGCCATCCACTGCAGGGGTAGGTCACAAATATAGGACACAAGGTATCTGCTGACAATCATTCGATAGGGAACTAAAACCACTAGAATAGGTTAACATGGTAATCGCGATGGGCGCAAGGGAACAGGGGGCTCAGGCTAAACCGCGAGGGGAATCTAAATCGCGGAAAGGAAAGGGAGAGGATAACGATAATAATAATAATAAGAACAATAATAGCAGAACAACGGCATTGAGTTACTTATCAATCACTGAGGAAACCGATTGGTTAAGTGATTAGATCTAACTAAGTAGCTTAACGCCGATCAGTCTGTGTTAAGTTATAAAGGCATCAATGAACGTAGAAAGATCCAATTTAATGTTAAATAAAATTGGCTTAAAGTTGAAACACTTCTTTAGGCGAGTGGATCTAACTAAACTGACTAGTACTAGCTAAGGCAAATTTAATTTAACTAACAAATCAAACCACAAAATTGACACAAACTAATAAAACAGTTAAATAACAAATCAAAGCTGAAACCAAACAAATCAGTAAAACGGAAATAAATTAAGTCACTAAATCATCAGACGCTGCCACAAATTGATAAGGGCAAGTCGCAATTAAAACTAAAAATTAAATTAAATTTTAGCAGGTTAGATTAAACAAAATTGAAAACACGCTAGGTTAGAGCAGGATAGGATGCTCAGCGAATAAAACTCAAATAAATACAATTCAACGCAGGAACCCTAATTCTAATCTCGACCCTAGGGATAAATTTAAACGTAAATCTGAATATTAATATTAATACTAATATAAGTTAGGGCCAATCAAACGGGAGCAACGAACAAAAGCAGAACACCAAAACGAGAGAACGAACTAACTTAAACTTAAACTTAAACTTAAAATTAAACTTAAATTTAAACTTAAATTTTAATTTAAATTTAATTGATTTAAATTGACAGAGGGGCAATCAAGAGTGATAGGCGCACCTAAAGATAACACGGCGAGACCCTTAAATCTAGTAAAATCCTACAAAACTAAATTCAATAAAATGCAAAACTCAATAAATCAAGCCAAACTAATAATTTAATCAACTTAATCAACTTCAACCTAACAAACTCAATAAATAAAATAAAATTAAACAAACTAAAACTTTGTAAAAGAAGCAACGGAAGTAGAGACAGAAAAGAGCATGAACGGAAGGGAAATAGTTTGAATTAAGGGATGAGAAATGAGCGGAGCACGTTGGCATGTTTTGGCATGAGCGTGCGAATGATTTAACAAGCAACAAGTCAGTGCATGAAATTGGAGCGGGAATTGATTGTTAATGCACCTGAGGTGGAGAAGCGAGAAGTTAATGGAATAGGAGTAAATAACGGTCTAATTACAGAAAAGAAGCTACCCTCCCAAATTAGGAAACAAGCGACGATGGATGAGAGGCGATGCGGACGACGAGACGGGTGTTGAGCAATAGACCGGATCCAAAACTCAAGGGAAGAGGTAGCAGCAGAGCTGAAACAAACAGATAAGAATTAGTTAATTAGTCAGATTAGGCGTAAACCGGAACAAATGACGCGACACGCAAGTAAGTACAACAAGACTACTTAACTTAGCATGAGTCAAACAAGGCGCAGGATGTTTGTCTAGCGAAGAAAGCTGAAACAGGTTAAATCAGAATCTAGATTAGTGCATTAAAAAAATAGGCATAGCATAAAATAAAATAGAAGATCAGGCAGGAACAGGCAGGAAATAAAATGTATACTGGCCTGTTGACACGATGCAGAAGGCGGAGCGCAGATGGTAAATAAATACGGCGAAGATTTAAACAAAACAAACCCAATTAAAACAAGCAAATAACAAGCACAAAGGAGACAGGACAACAAAACAGGAGACGCATACGAGGAAAACTTAGTAGGGTAATAACGAAGCTGGAAACGGTTAACTGGAAAGGTAGACAACGTACGACAAGAAATCCAACACACTCACACACGTATGGCAAACACACACAGGCAGGCAAACAGGCAAAGAAGAAAGCACAAATACTGAATACGCGGCAACTAATGGACGATAATAACACTAACGGGAAGGAACACCCTCCAGGGTGCGTTCTACTTCCTCCTTCATCATCATGACAAGTTTAACAAAGCGAAGAATGGCGTCACGGTGACTCTCTTCACCAAGCAACACGAACACGAAGTTCAGGGGAGTAAGAGGGCCTGTAACAGCATACAAAGCTGAACGCTCGGGCTCCCAACACGAGCAGGAAAAAAGGGTATGATAAGCATCATCCTCAACTCCGGTTTGGCAAAACCAGCAAACGGGAGACGAAATACGATTGATACGGTAAAGGTAACTGGCGAAGCAGCCGTGGCCTGTCAAAACCTGAGTGAGATGAAAGGACAAGAGACGGGGACCACCGGACGTGATCCAGAAACCAAGATCTGGAATAAGGCGACGTGTCCAATCGCCAGTGGGACAAGTGCTCCAGGATGATTGCCAATCGCGACGAGCGAGGAGATCGACAGTGCGAGGAATATCTAAACTATCAGCGAAGGGATTAATATGGAAATAGGCGGTACGAAGATGAATAAGAAACTCCCAAGGAGTACAACCGGACAGGACACACAGAACTGAGGTGGAAACGGTGCGATAGGCGCGACAAATTCGGAGGAGACCAACGCGCTGAGTTGAATGCAGGCGAGATAGGATACGGGTGAAAGCGACAGCCTCAAACCAAACGGGAGCAGCATAAAGGACTATAGATTCTACAACGCGGTAGTATAAAATGCGACCAGTGTAACCACAGCCGCGCAAGTTAGGAAGAAGACAAGATAAGCGTTTTGCAACAGCCAAGGCCTTGGCGCAAACCTTATCAATGTGCTGGTGGTAGAGGCGACTGTTCCCGAAAAGAACACCAAGATAACGCACAAAGGGCGAAGTATGGATGGTATTTGAGCCATGAATCAAGGATATTCCACGAGGAACGCGGCGACCGGTCAGAAGAATGGCTTCGGTCTTGTGGGTGGCTAGGACTAGGCCCTGAGAGGTGTACCAGCTATCTAGAATGCGGAGACACTCCTCAGCAAGGGAGCGTAGACGGGATAAGGAACGGGCGACAAGCACGAGAGCCATGTCATCGGCAAAACCGACGGTAATAGCGCCACCCGGAAGAATTAGGTCCAACACACCATCATACGCTAAAATCCACAAGAGTGGGCCAAGAACAGAGCCCTGGGGAACGCCAGCGAAAACCGGCACCTCAATCCAACTACCATCAGAAAGAAAGGTTCCAACCTGACGATTAGACAGATAGCTTGCAAGAATACGAATCAGAGAAGGGGGGAAATTCCGGGACACTGCGACACGGAGTATATTTTCCCACTTTAGGGTATTAAAGGCATTCTTTACGTCTAAAGTCACAAGAAGACAGTGACAATTGGAGGAGCGAGCGCGATCCCATTCAGAGGTCACCACGCGCATCGCTTGCATGGTGGAGCGGCCGGATAGAAAACGAAGTATGGATGGTATTTGAGCCATGAATCAAGGATATTCCACGAGGAACGCGGCGACCGGTCAGAAGAATGGCTTCGGTCTTGTGGGTGGCTAGGACTAGGCCCTGAGAGGTGTACCAGCTATCTAGAATGCGGAGACACTCCTCAGCAAGGGAGCGTAGACGGGATAAAGAACGGGCAACAAGCACGAGAGCCATGTCGTCGGCAAAACCGACGGTAATAGCGCCACCCGGAAGAATTAGGTCCAACACACCATCATACGCTAAAATCCACAAGAGTGGGCCAAGAACAGAGCCCTGGGGAACGCCAGCGAAAACCGG